AAAGGTTATTTCGATTGATAGTCATGTGATGCAATGTAAGTAGGGACGAATTGTGATAGCCTAAGATATTTGTGGTCCCCAATATTAAATCACTGATTTCCTAGGCGTAATATTAATTACACACTGCTGTCGTTTCTGTAGAGACTCAGTAGGAAGCCGACTAATGAGACAAATCCCTTTGTTCCGGGAAATAATGCCGATGACGGAAACCAATCATTGAAACTGAGGGATACTTTAAGTCCTTGCCGCCTGGTTAATTATCTCCGAGCGGCTGACGACATTAATTTTGGCCTGTCTGATGTCTAATGCCCAAATTTAAGACACATAAATTGGGATTTATTTGGGGGGCCAGCCCGAGTCATTTGGCAGGACTTGTGTGTAAGTACCAGCGTCATGCAAGCATTGTGTATTTAATATAGACTCTGCCTCTGGTAATTTGCGATAATGAAGTCTTGGATGGCCAAAGCAGGTTTGCTGGACAGCCTGGTGCTTTATGCATTATTAAAATGCCGCATGCCGTGCCGTTAGACTCGATATATTAAAAAATACCCAGCAGAGATGTCCCCTCATGCTGGTATCTTTAGGATCTGCGATGCTGACGCCATTGTATGGGGCAAAAAAATGGCATTTTCCATTCCCGAATTGCGTGTATTTTTTTCGGCTACTTTTTTATCCACGTTTAATTTATTCTTTTATTTCCAGAGCGTGTTGCTTTGATGTGTCCACAATGAAGGCGCCACAACTCGCACTCACAATAAATACAATTTAGGCATTCCACGAGCAACCACATGAACTGGGATCCATGTATCCTCCGTTCAGTATGGTTTAGCTTTCCGGGTGGTGCGGTCTGTGCATCAATTTCCTATTGTGGTGGGATTTCCGCCCGCAGATTGATATTTCGTGTTCGCCTCACTTGCCATTTGGCCCGAAAAGTTGGCCAAAGACACCCACACAAATACCCCAGAGCATCGGATGCCCATCCCAACAAGACTTCATAAATTATGCATATGATCAATTAAATACAGAACATTTAACAACAGGCAAGTGCGGTTTGGGACCCTTTTGTTGTGTCCGTTTGTGGATGGCCACCCACAAATATTTGGCCGACATTCATAAAAGGCATATTGGGCATTCCGAGCAATGACCATTGGTTTATCCTTTCATGCACTAAATGTATAAAGTTTCATGAGAAATTTTGACAAATTAAAGTTCAGTTTAATTAAATTATTGAGTCACATTCTTCAGGTATTTTGATAGTAGTAATAATTATTGATTTCAAAATTATTTCATTTTGGTAACATAAGCACCCTTTAAGCCAAATTGTTTCGCAAAATCTCTTATTTCAAAGGAATTTATTGTGAAAAGAAATTTTTCCCATACTGTTTCAACTTAATCGCCTTAAAAAAACTTTCTTCCCTTTTACTAAAAAAAGGGGTTGCTATTAAATACAACAAGTTTTTGTCCATACTTTTTAATACCTTTTGAAAAACCCTTTGTTCTTTTTTTATTACCCAGGTATAATGTACAATCTATACAACGAATAATAAATGTTCTGTTGCATAATACAGAATTTAATGTCATTTAAAGGACTTTTTATAAACATTTTTACCAATAGAAACATAGTGAAGAGATTAACCTGACACTGTTCATTTTTTAACTTGACTTAACTTGATTGAGTACTTTAATCTTTAAAAAAATTATATCTTTGTATACAACAAGTTCAGATGAGAGGGAAGCATGCGATTTTTCCTTTTTATTTTCTTGAGCCGGATACAAAAACTGCTCTTCATTTATTAAACGTCAACACGGCTTCAGTTGTTGCAAATTAAAAATTCATATTCCCGTTGAGAGAAGACTTTTTTTCTGGAAATAATTAAAATACGCAGAGAAAATAAACTCTGCCTCAATTTTGTATAGAATTCTTTTGGTTCCAAGAGGGTCATTAAACTTAAATTGATGGCAAATAAGCGATTGGGCATTTTCGTGATAAAGAGTTCACGATGATCAACAAAAACTACCCAAAGCAAACTTTACCAAGAAGCCAATTACGACCCAAAAAATGTCGAAAAAAATTAATTAGGTATGCCACAAGGAGTATCAATTGAACCAAAAACGATTTCTGAAAATCGGGCACTTAACATAAAATAGCAAAGCATACCGTTTTTATACAGATATTTTATCACAAAATCAAATTACAAGGAAGTTTCTCATTTACATAAAATAATAGTTGTTATTGTTAATTTTTTCCAAAAATTATTATTATTCCAGAAAATATGTGTTTTTCTATGTTAAGTCACACATCAAATTCCGACATTAATTCAAAATAAACTGCATTTGTATTTTTACTGATGAAATTCATAAGCGTAAACAATAGAAATTACTATATTTTTGATTGTTTTTAATTTGTATACCCATTTCATTAATTGCTTGCTTTTTTTCCAGCCAATTAATATAAATTTGGGTAATAATAACACTCACATTTGCGTTGTATTTCGCAAGTTTATTTGTTTGGAATGTATTTGTTTATATTTTACCACATAAGCACTTTTATAATTGAACAAACAAACAGATAATGTGTGTTTTTTTTACACTTTTTTTTTTTATTTTTCACTTAGTTATTGACGGTCTATATATTTGATCCGCTGTATTTTGTCCGCTTTCTGATCCTTTCACGCGCTCTGTAATTTGCCGACTGCAAGTGAAATTCAGTCAGACGAAGTTGATTTGGCGCCAAAGTGCTCGGCACTTCGAATTTCCCCTCCTTCCAGTTTTCGAACTGTTTTCGAACTGGAACTGGAAGGGTTCTAGCCGGCAAACAACGCCTGCGCAATATATACAATATTGTAAACAAAACCAGCTGTTTTGTGCATAACACATATATCACTTTTCATTGACAATGGCATATAATATATATGTATATATAGTGCGAGTGTGGGGGTTAAGTCTGAACATAAGGATGAGTGATGCGATTAGAGTGAGCTCTAATAAATATAAATGATTTGTAAAATTTCTACAAAGAAAAAACAAAACAGAAAGAAACATTTTATTGAAAGTCGTTGAAGCATTCCGCATTTCTTCTCATATGGAATTAAATTGAAGGGGGTGGTGTTGGGTGAAGGTACGGAAAACAAGGCTCAAGGCCACGCCTTTTGCTTGTCACGCCGCCTGAGAATTCGCACAGCTGTCAACCAAAGTTCCATCCACTTGACACCTCCAATGTTTTCAGATTTTTCTCATTTTCGCCTTAATTTCCTTTCACGACGCATTATTTCAGCCCTTCGACACCACGCGTTACGGCTTGAACAGCTTTTGACTGGGCCCACAGTGTCTGCCCCAAATGATTCGAAGACAATAATGGCCAACTCAGTGCGGTGACACCTTAATTTATACGGGTTCGGTGAGACCCATCCGTTTAGCTCATGAGTTCATACAAAAATGTTTAAATCTGCCGTTCCATAAAGGTCTTTAAATATTTGAGACTAATTACAATAGTAAAGATAATTTTGGATGTGTGAAATTTGCCTATTTCTAAAATATAATGGCATTTTTTAACTAATAAACTTCATTGTATAAAAAAAGCTTAATTGATAAATAACAAGAAAGGAAAGCTAACTTCGGGCGGAACCGAAGTTGATATACCCTTGCAGAATACTCTGTAAATTATATTCTCCAAAATTATTCATATGATGCATTCTTAATACTCATAAAAAATCCCAACTTCCTAACTTTAAAAACACCAAAGTTATGACATTTCCAATCGTTCAGTTATATGTCAGCTATAGGATATAATCGGCCGATCCTTATGAAATTTGGTAGGTCGGATTGGCTGGCCAAATATAACACCCATAGAAAATGCCGACTTCCTAACTTTACAATCACCAAAGTTATGGCATTTCCGATCAATCAGTTATATGGCAGCTATAGGATATAGTCGGCCGATCCTTATGAAATTCGGCATGTCGGATTGATTAGCCAAATATAAAACCCATAGAAAATCCCAACATTCTAACTTTACAAACACCAAAGTTATGGCATTTCCGATCAATCAGTTATATGGAAGCTATAGGATATAGTCGGCCGATCCTTATGAAATTCGGCATGTCGGATTGATTAGCCAAATACAAAACCCATAGAAAATTACAACTTCCTAACTTTACAAACACCAAAGTTATGGCATTTCCGATCGTTCAGTTATATGGCAGCTATAGGATATAGTCGGCCGATCCCGGCCGTTCCGACTTATATACTGCGTGCAAAGGAAAGAAGGGTGTGTGCAAAGTTTCAATTCGATATCTTTAAAACTGAGAGACTAGTTCGCGTAGAAACAGACAGACGGACAGACAGACGGACAGACGGACAGACGGACAGACGGACAGACGGACAGACGGACAGACGGACATGGCTATATCAACTCAGGAGGTGATCCTGATCAAGAATATATATACTTTATAAAAAATATATAAAAAAGGGGGTTAATATAAAAAGAAAATCACAAAATTAGTTGTGGTTTCCGTTACTCCACGCATTTCCGCTTCTCTATTAGTTCAAATTTTGTGTTGCATACTTTCAGGCAGAAACAAGTTTTTGATTTAAGTGAGTAACTGTCTAGATTAAAATAATGTATTATCATAAGCAAAACAGATAAAACTTTTGTGTTTACTTTATAACTTATCTAGTTGCATTAATCTGATAATAAAATCTTATCAAGTCTTTTGTAACTGGCACTTAAGCGCATTGATAAGACGTTTCTCTTAACCTAAAAGCCCGTTTCTCTTAGCTTCTCACTGGCAGCGAGAAAATCAACAAAAAAGGTAAACAGAAAAGTTGAAAGCAAACGTTGAATTGAAACGGAAAGCAGGGCGAATTGAAAGCCCGTATCCCCGCTCTTCGTGGCTCATTTTGGCGCCGAAAGAGCGCTCATTTCGAGTGGGGAGACCCCAAGCGCTCTTTGTGTTTTGGGGGCCTAACGGATTTTCGCTGACTCTGTTTGTCCGTGAACGCCGACGTCGACGCACGCCTCTCGTTTTTCGCGCGCTTCTCGCAATTCTCGGTAAATGCGCAAAAAAGCCAGCAACAAATTCAAATCAAATCGCAACGCAACGCATGGTGAATACATGCCTGTATTTTATAAATAGATCAGCGGAGCCATAAAAAGCATATATTAAGCAAATCTAGAAAGAAAAAAAAGAATAAGAAAAGTGATTAGTTGATAAGGAATACTGTTTTCTGAAAGAATTTGCCGCGCGCGCGAATTAGTTTCGAATATTGCGTATACGCACGGTCGGCCAAATAAAACAAATCGAAATCAAACAACCAATAAAACAAGGGAACACAAAAGCACACATTTTGGCAAAAGCAGCATATCAGAAACACCAATAAACATTTCCTAGTATTTACAACGAAACGAGGGAATACCCTATGTATGGATTTAGATAGCACATTTACAGCAATCAAGGATACAGAGCCTTTGGAAGGATAGCCGCAAGGATGCCAGCCAGCGGGTTGCAATCTCCACCAGGTCGACGACAGGCTAACGGCATATCAGGATAAAAGAACCAGGGACTTGGACATGGCTCCTCTATTTGTCTAGTGGGCAAATACCAGCGAACCGGGAACCAGGCCACACACCCGCACACCCACTCACACACACCCACATACACACGCTCGGACAAACAAGGACGTTTGTCATTGTGTGCGTCAAGGACGCTGACACACGTACATGCTTACAAAGTATCGCAGTGGTTGTTGTAGTTGTTGTGCCATACAAACAAGCCAGTGTCGCAAAGTGGGCGTGCCAGCTGGGCGGCCTCTGATTAAATATACATCAGTCAAGCGCAAGGATCCCAATTTCCAGCAGTTGTCCCATGTAAAAGGACACGGGACAAGGAAAAGCGCAAAGCAGGACACCAACTTATAAGCAGAAAAATGGCGCGACGCAAGGGCAGCGGTCGAGGCAGTAAGTAGATTTTCTTGTTAATTATTTAAATCAAACTATAGCTGGAAAATGTGCAAGCGAAATTCTGGGAATTTCCGTTAACATCTCAAGGATTTCCAGTTACTTTGGTAACTTTTCATGAAGTTCGAATGACAATAAATGTCTACTTCAAAGCTAATTTTCGGAATTCAGAATTAAGACCTTTAGAACAGGCACCTTAAACTCTTAGCACTAAAAAAATTCTCAGATTGTTCTGGCGCCTTACTACCTATCTGCAAATTTATTTAAAGTCAAATTTCTTGTTGTATAAAACCCACTTAAAAGTCCAAATACAGAATGCAGACTGGCAATTTAAGCTAAGCCTATTAAATACTCAAAGAGTTCTTCTTTTGAAGGTTACAAATTCTAGCTGATATGGGAAGCAAAGCCTCAATTTGTATTTCATATATAGTTTCCAGTCTAATAGCTTCAAAAACTGACTCTATTTTTGAAAAAGCAAAATGGGACATAAGCTCTCAAAGTACCAACTCAAGTACTAGAATTTTGCAGCCCAGCTCAAGGACGTCAAGTTTTACAGCTGCCATATGGTAAGACACTAATGTCCCTATCTACCAGGCTTTCATCTCTATCTCTTTCTCTCTTTCACTTCCAAGCAAAAGAATCTTGTCAAGTGCAGCGAATTTTGTTGTCGTGGCTCAAAGGAAAAAATATAATTAAGGAAATAGTATTCAGCCACGCCCCCACTTGAAACCTTTGGCTGTATCTGTATCTATAAGATACATTTTTTGCATTATTATTTGTGCCACGACTGCTTTTACACACTTGCTCAACGAGCGAGATGGCAGAGGGGAGGTGCGAGAGGGAGAGCATGCATAAAACATGAAACAACAGCGTCAGTAGTCACTTTTCATTGCATTGCGCCCACGCCCCCATGCCCACCTCCCCTCTCCCCCCTCCCCTCTGGCTTACAACCCCTTATCATTTCATTTCAGTTGCGTTGGCGCGCGCGCTGAAAAATGTTGGGGATTCCCTTACGTAATCCCCGAGCGCACACAAAAGGCAAGCAAACAAACAAACAAACAGACACACACATATACACACCACTTACTCGCGGGCAAACAAAACAAAAACACAAACGAAATGGGCAAAAGAAAGAGGCAAAGGCAGAAACGGAAAAACAGAAAACGGGGAAAACAGAAAAACATAAAACAGACGCAAACAAGGCAGCTTGTTTGCCAGCCAGTCGGAGTCGCCCCATGTAAAATGGCCTGAAAATCAAGCTCAGCCAGCGTCATGAACTTTTGCGCCGCTCACCCGCTCAACAGGCATCTCACAGATACAAAGATACTCAGATACACGTACAAAAAATGTAGCAACAATCTTATTACTTATCGAAAAATAAAGCAACGGGACAAATTTGAAGCTACATTTGAAATTATAAAACTTCATATTTAATAATATTCACTTTGATTATTTTAATATATTTTAGATACTATTAATTATGATTTATTCTATTTTAATATATTTTTGGTTTATATAAATTTAAATATACATTTAATTTTTTACATTATTTGGATCAAAGATCAAAGTAATTGTTTTATCTTCAAAACTATTTTGTAAATTAAATCCTGAAACACTTACATATCGACTTAATATTTCCTTTAATTTTTTTCTGTGTACAAACACGCAGTTACTTGGGCATCCACAGTCGCAGTCACAGAAATTTTGCGTCACGCGGCCTGTTAGTCAAGTTGTTCGGCTGCTGTTACTCATGCTACAGTTTGAACCTATTAAAACGCCAGATACTTTGTTGTATGCCTTCTTCACCATCCTCCCTCCCTCAGATACTTTTGCCAAATGAGATACAAGTGTGCTGCCTGCCTTTTGATATATGCCAAGTATTCCTCGTTGGGCGGATACAGTGCACATTCCCAGCATTCAATACCTGATAAAGTGTGGGCGAATTTCATTTCTATCACTGCTGTCGAGAGAACTATGTATAAAGTTGTATACTGTTAATCTTAAAGAAATACAAAATACGAATATAAATAGGAAATATTTTATTTTATAATATATAAACTTATAAAGCTATATTATGGCAATAATTTTGTTGGTAATTGTCTGTACTTAAATACCAGTTTAACAGCATTTAATATTTTTGAATTGCAATTAGCAGTACAATTATTAGTTATACTTAAAAAATACAGATAATTAATTAAAACAACATCCGTTTTTTGACGTTGTTCTGAGCAATAATATTAATAATTAAATAATATTTACATTATTTAATATTATGTTGTGATACCAGATCAAAACATTATTAATATTTTTAAATATTCTCAAATGAACTATTAAGGAACCATACTTATAGATGAGCCAAAAATAAAATCCCAAATAAATTTAGATCTTAATGTTTGTTGAATAGTAATTAAATTTTGAAAGTAGATCACCAGGTATCTAAGCACCTAAATGTTTACATTTCTCATCAGTATTGTCAATTTTTAACGCTTGTAGTATCTACAAGTATCAATAACTTTTTAAAGATTTAAAGAATATATTTCTGTTAAGAAGGGATAAGTAGGAAGTCACCTAGAGCTGCCACTGTAGCAGGCGCAACATGTTCAAAGAGCTTGGCTACGCCTTGACTTCAAGCTGCCGATGGGTTTTGGCTTTGGTTTTGGTTTGTGGGCGACTATGGGCATGGTTTTCGAGTTTGAGCTTTGAGGTTGGGGAGTTGGGCTGAAACACTTAAGCTGGCTTTGGCTTTGTCTTTGTCTTTGTCTTTTGCCTTTGCGTTGCCAGTGACTTCGTGGCTGTAATCTCCTTTCGCCTTCGTCTAACGACGTCAAAATTAAAATAGACTTTGCTTTGGGTTCTCGGCACTGTGTTCGCATCGCCTTTGCCTTGGCTGTGGGCCATTGTGCGGATAATTTATGGCGGGGGAGTCCAGAGCGGGAAATCCCACCCACTCCCTGCGGCTGGCATTTCCCCGCACTTTTATTTCAGAGTATTTTCATTCCATCGCTACCTTTGTTTCTGTTTCCCTTTGGCAACTTTGCTTTGGCCCGTTCGCATTCCATTTCCATTTCGAATGAATAAAACAAGAAAAAAAAGGCTTTTAGTTTGCGTAGTTTTTGCCTTTCAGAGGGGTTGATTTTTCATTTAACTCGGGGAAAGGAAATGAGTTGGGAAAGGGGTTTTTGGGGTTGGAGTCCTTAAGTGCTAGGTAACTGCCTATGTAGGTCTAGGTGTGGCCATAATGGAGCCCGTTTCCATTTGTTGATTGCTCTGATTCCGTTTGAAATGCGGAATTAGGTGCTTAAAGTCAAGCTATATTTAGCCTAAACTAAAATTAGGATTTCAATATAAACCTTGGCGAAGGGTTGGTTGTTAATGAAATCATAGAACTTAAAGACTTTAATTAATTTAAATCAATGATTAAATATACAATGAAGTTATTAAATAAAAGGATTTGTATATTTAAAGATAATGTATTTATAATTATAATATACAAGAACCTACAAGGAGTACATACTTCATATATTTTATTTATATTTAATAGTCTTTGTAACACTTCCTAAACAACCTCTTGACTTTATCCATTAACTAACCTCGGCTAAGCTAATTTATTTTATAAAAATCTGCCACATGGCACGCAACAATTCGTAAGCGAATACAATTTCCTGAGTCACAGTTTACCCATTCTGCCAAATTGGTTAGCCTCCCCCCCATTTTTTTTTTGTGGGCCACATCCATATCATAGCCGTAAACAAACACTCCACTCCAACTTTTCCGGGGACGCCTTTTAAGCAACTGTTGTGGGCAGCCACGCCCAGAAAATTCTCTCTCCTGCCATTTTAGCCGCCCACCGCACCCCTCGTCCACTAAAAAGGTCATGGCAGAAAGAAAAGCAACAAAAGACCCAAAATAACAAAAAGGAAAACAAGGAAACGAAAATAAAAGGAAAATAAATAAACGTAAAATGAAATCCAGGCCCCAACTTTACCTATGAGTTTAAGCCAAAATAAAACCCCATACCTGTAGAGAAAGGACCTGCCACACAGAGAGAAAAATACGTATATATAAGGCAATAACAAACAGAAAAAAATAAAAACAAGAAATTAAGGGAAAAGTTGGCAACTGGAATAAAAAAACGCAGAAACACAAGGCGAAAAGACAAGTGTTTGTGTGTGTGTGTGTAAGCAAACCTCTTCATCACCCAAATACATGCACACCGCACACACACTCACACACACACACTTACACACACTCAAGGCAAGTCTATGAAAGCGCAGGGCTTCCCCAAATGATAAAGTTTTATTTGCTTTTGCGGGCGCACATTGGATTTTTCCTTTTCCTTTTCTTTTTTTTTGTACTTTGTGGGGCAGCAGAGGCAGCGACGTCGACGCCGACGCCGGCAGCTCTCCACCATAATAAAACGAGCATTGAACGATGATGATGAAGATGATGGGGGTGATGGTGGGTGTTGGATAATGGGGATGATGACGTTGCCGAGGCGGTCGTCAGTTAGTTGCCACAGAAAGGCGAACATTAAACCAAGTCAACCGAGTCCAAGTCCGCCCACTGGGGAATTCCCAGGAAAAAAGCGACCTGAAGATACCCCACAATCGAGTCTGATTTAATAGCCTCATCCCTATTGTTTCTATTCCCCAAAATATTAATCAAACATATGTTCTATATCAAACTTGAAAAAAAATTAAAAACTTTTTAACAAATCACTTCTTGTTAAAATGTTTTTTTGATTCCTGTTAAAATATCTTAAAATATTATTGGTAGGATTGCTTATCTATAACAAAAGCTCAGTATTATATCGAAAATATATATCATCAATATCAAAATGCTAAAAAATGTACATTAATATTGTACGACGCGATAGGGATTGATTCTATGTCGATATTTTCAGCTATATCTGATTTTTGGAATGCTTATACAAGACCATCAAAATATGTTTTTATTTTAATAATTTATATAATAGATATTTCATAGATTACCAAAAATGA